GTAAAAGTTCAACTGCTGGCTCTTTTCGTGTTGAATTAGGAAATATTAACTGGATTTGGTTTCTCTCTGTATGACATTTTTCTTTCTTATGATCAAGTAATTTACAGAGAAATTTGCGTATTTTAAAATCTAATATATAAACAAAGAACCGCAGAAACCAGAATAACTAAATTGAAGAAGGAAAACGTGTGTTACAGCCGTTGGCAAAGAATTAAGTGTTTTTCATTTGTGCTGCCTGAACTGTGTCAGATGTTTAAACTAAAATTGTTACTTTATTCTTCATTGGTAATACTAATTAATCCAGAAGAGCCATCTTTTCGCTCTCTGCCTTGGCTTAGTTACTTTTCATGGCATGACTATTGTTAATTATAATTAATTGCGCAATTACAGTGCACTATTTTGATAAAGACACCTACAAATTAAATGCAAATATTTATCATTGTGTTTCACAGCTGAAAGCAGTGGAGTGTCCAGGGGAAAGTGTGAAGAGAATTGCAGTTGCAATAACATGGGGATGTTGTGCAGAGTTTACTGCACATAAAACATATGTGCTATTTGCTAGCTTTGCACAAAAACCTTGGGCTGAAGGAGGCGGAAGAAACCTTCATAGAACTACTTTTCACAAAATGGAGGGGGCGCAGAGAAAAGTAGCAAAAGCTGGGGAAGAAACTGATCCAGGTAAACTGGATGAAATTGGTATGTGTGTGTAGCGCGGCTAAGAAATTATTACAGCTCCTGGATGCGGCCCTGGGAATTCGTTGCGTTATTCAGCCTGTTTGTGCAGCTACTAAATTGAGCATTGGCAAGCAGCAACATGATGCAAGGCAGAGCTGCACATAAATGGATTCCTGGCCAGACTGTGGCCTTGCTTTTATGGTTTTTACTTTCATTTACTTTTTTCTTTTTTTTTTTTTTTTTATTGGCTTTGTTACTTTGGAGGCTATTAGATCATCTGTCCCCCTCATCCTTGAAAAGACCCAGGCTCTTTTTTCTGTTATGTTTATGGAATCACACTGATGAGTAGAGACGGGATTTGATCTACTTTGCTTTGTGATTCTTCCCATTTTACAAAGAGGAAACTCAGTTCTTGCTCCCGTGTACTTAGTATACAATGATACTGGCTGGTTCTCATGAGTAGGCTCTTAAGCCCAGATGAGACAACCTGTCAGTATAGGGTCTTTGATATCTAAAGCTAGTCTTCTGGAAATCTCAGCTCTTCTTCTCTCCTCATCAGCCTAATTGTCTAAGTGCTTCATGGCACATCACACAGCTGTTTTCAAAATGCATGGTGAATATTAGAATTTCCATCCAGCATCAACTGTGGATGCAAAAGCAGGTTCCTCAAAATGGAGATGAGGTAGGTACTCTTTTAAAGGAATACTTTTATATCCTTGGTAATAGCGTGTTTTCCATTTGCTCATCTATAGTCTCTAGATTTACCTGATGGTAGTTTTCTGCCTCAACTTTTCGGCATTTCCTTAGCTGCTTGGCCACAGATTTTGGCAACATCTGGTGTAAGAGGTCCTCAGCTAACTGCCTCTCCCTTTTCAAGTCCTCTGTCCTTTCCTTGAGGTTCCTGGCATAACTGTGTATCCAGTCTGTCATTTGCTTGAAGGACATCACGGTTATGGGGTAAATGAGGCATGCTATCACTAACAGGCTGGTCTTAAGGCTCACTGTGGACAGTATTTCTTTAGATTTCTTGTTGAGCTTTTCCTGTCCGTTCTGCAGCAGGCAGCTCTGTACGTAATAAAATTCCTTCACCAAGGCTTTAAAGGAGACAAATTCAGCTGAGCCCAAGAATGGGATGAGGAAAGAGATTCCTTCATAGTGAGTAAATTCAAGGGATAGATTGACATTATCCATCCAGCACTTATGTACGTTCTCTGATGAGAGGATAGCATAGTTCAGAATGCTGAAAAGTGAATGCAATGCTGTCTGAAAACTTGTAGATGCTGGCATTGAATGAGCTCTAAGCATGGCTTCTCTTATTCGAAGGATGAGTTTAAAAGCTACTACGTCAGCCCAGTCAGGATTGTATCTCATAGCTTTGAGGTCCTCGTGGAGACTACTAAAAAGCTCTAGCAGTTCAGAAATCACTCTGGATAGCATCTGGCTGGCCTCAGTATCCTGTGTGCTATTTATCCTTTGTTTCACGTCAATGATATAAAATCTGCAAATGGAGATTTTCTCCTTCTTGCATTGGCAATGCTCACAATACAGTTCTACTTCACTTTCATTGCAGAGGGAGCTTAAATTCTCCAACAGCTGAGCATGAAATGATCTATTCCTCTTATCTGCTGCTGGGATCAGCCAGCTTTGTCTTTCCTCCTGCAGGAGATAGATGAGGCGAATGGCCCAAAGGTTTTCACAGGAGGCAAGTTCCTGAAGGACCTTCCCTGTGTTTTTCCATGTTTCCAAGCTGTTGCTCAAATCAAAAGAAAAGGCTCCAAGGAGGCTGCAGAGGGAGACCATGCATGCTGTCAAAATCCTTTGGACTGTTTTGCTACCACCGGTGCTGGAGAGAGGAGAGCATCTAAAACAGAAAAAAAGGGGTCTGATCACTGAGGTATTTCTTACAGGTCCTGAAAATATAACTGGAGCTGGTAGTGATATTTAACAATTTGTATGCGTTTTGAAACAAAGCACAGGGATCATACATTCTCTGAATGCTATTGAAAGATGTCTTTTATTGAATAACCCCATGCACCAGTACAGGCTGGGGGTTGACCTGCTGGAAAGTAGCTCTGCAGAGAAGGACCTGGGAGTGCTGGTGGACAACAAGTTAACCATGAGCCAGCAGTGTGCCCTTGTGGCCAAGAAGGCCAATGGTCTCCTGGGGTGCATTAGGCAGAGTGTTGCCAGCAGGTGGAGGGAGGTGATCCTGCCCCTCTCCTCAGCCCTGGGGAGGC